CTGAATATACCTCGATTGCATCAGTGGCTGTCACAGGGTATTGTCAGGGTATTGTGCTTCCGTGTTGTGCCATGACGCCCACTAGTATGGACTATGTTGCGCATCGTCCTTAGGTACCTATGACACGCGGTCCTGCAGAGGCATCACCTTACAATAGCATTCACGACCCCAAACCCCTGGACGTTGTTCGGGAAGCTCCATAATCCTTCCCAACCACAGATTTGGTAATTACGGCTCTCTCCTCGACGATCCCTGGTTTTTTGGAAGCGCGCAGGGACTTAACTTTAAAAGAACCCCATTTTAGCGGAAAGGCATTATCGAAACTTATCCATTTCTTTTTTTTACCCCTCGTTTTCCGCCCATGGCTCGGGGTTGTCCCTGCGGCTGAGACGCCAAATTTGCGGCTTGACACGACCAGCCGCCAATGCCCTGCGACCAAAGGATCCCTAGGGGGGACCACAGCAGTCAGACTTTTTCTTTCTCCCTGGCGAGACGCCAGTTTCTGCCCGGCCGATGCTGTTCCGGGCACGGCTGGCGAGGGCTCGCGGGATGGTTGGCTGGGAGTACGAAAGGCGGTAAGTCAAAGGTCGGGCGGCGAGCAAGTGCCTGAAACGCCTGGCTCTTCTTTCAGCCACTATCATGGTACGTACTGCATGGTCTGAAGGGGTGCGAGAAAGTAGGGTTTTTTTTCGTGGTCGTCGGGGTTGATGACGGGTCCGGGCTCGCTCCCAGTCTCCGAGCGGGCCCCCGGACGCGGACGGGTCGCCGTGTTTCGCCCACTTGTTCCTGAGCTGGGGGCTGAAGCTGCGTTGCGAGGGCGTTGTTGTATCGGATGCATTATGGCTTTGGTGTTTTGACCAGGTATCGCTTCAATGGGATTGGGGCAATATCGCTATATCGCTGGCTTTTAAGTTCTTCGGCCAACCCGGGAACAGGGAAGAGTCCTTGCTTGATATCAATTTCCCGGCCCCTGCTCAAGTTGATGGGCCTAAGAAGCGTCTTGCATACTGATGATCTTGCTCTGTCATGCAATGGAAAGCGTCGAGCAAGACCTGGGTCTAAGAAGCTTCATGTAAAGACAGGGCTTAGAAACACGCCCATCCCGAAGTCGAGGCTCAGGTCTGATCACGGCATACAGGTAGTTCGACGGCTTCTCCCGCCTTGCCTGAGAGTTGCGGGAGCTAGGCCGGTCATACCATGGAAGCCTGGCAGTGCGAAGGTCTTTCGACAGTATATCCTGGGCGCCCGGATGGTACGAACAGCGGTCACGGTGCCTGATCCTCGGCGACATTGTACTCGGGGCTGCCTCGGCGGGAGACACAACAGGTCCAAGTCTATTTCTCGCCATTAAGAGTGGAGGAGGATATGTAAGCAGGTGTGGTTCTATCATCTTCTCACGAGGACGCCTTCACGAACAAATTCTACGGTGTGCCCCATGGCCCCTTAGGCATGACAGATGTACGTGACTTGATTTTCCAGATCTGAACGCAAAGACCAGGGACCGAGAGACAATTCTTGAATGCCATGAGCCAATGACCTGTCGCTGCTCATCCGAACGTTCGTCAGGGTGCCGACACAAGCTTCGGGCAACGTTCACGCCACCGAACAACATTGAACATCCCACCAGGAACCGCAATAACTTTACCGCCATCCGACAGCACCGCAGCCGAGGCATGTGTTCGATGAGCCGGATCGATGTGCAACTTTATCTGTGGCGACAATGCCAGGCCTTGCTTCCGTGCGACAGATCCAGCATGCCAAATCACGAAGCTGAAGAACCGATACCGGCCGGCTTCATCTTTTTAGCAACCGCGTGTCTGGGGCGTACATTACCCTGATGCTGCCTTTTAGCTGGATGGTGATCCATCTGGCGTCCTTCGTCTTGAGCAAACCCTGTGATTAGTTCCGACGGAGTCTTTCTGTCCCTAGAAAAAGGTTTAGATGCATCTCAAACTTCTTGCATGTGTTGACCGTTTTTAGACCCCATCTTAACGTCGATAATGGGACATCAGACATGAGATTCGAACAGGCTCTCCCCAAGTTCAGGAAATACTCTCGAAACTTCCTATCCATGTACCATGTGGTTTTCTGGCCCACCACAGCTCATAGGTAGAAATGAGCCGTCGGCTATGGCAGCGCCAGATGATCCCTATACTTCTGCGGTATCAGCGACGAAAGAAAACGCCGGGTCGACCATGATCTGAAGCACAGGGACCGTTATCAACCGTCGTCCGAATCATGTATCAACCGTCGTCTGAATCATGAATCGCCGGCATGCGCGCGCCCTGGCAGCTTACCACAACGGGGGGTGGGGGACTCGTCCGGTCGTCCAGCGGGAGTGTGAGAGGCAGAACACCCTTCTAGAAATGCCCGGATCCTTGAAGCCCATGCGTCACTGTAGTATGAGAGGGTCTGCCCCCGGTGGGGAGAGGGTCGTGTAACATCAGCCTTGCGCAGGACAAGCCCAAGGCCCCGCCGAGACTGCTTCTCGTGGAAAAAAGCTATCAAGGGTATACACATCAGCCCACCGAAGCATCTAGCAGAGAGAATGACTGGCTCTCGGTGTCACCGTTGAAATTAACACTGTAGCCCTCTAGCGTTCGAACACGTCACGCCAAGGTCGCAATACATCTCGAGCAGCCCGGCATACAAGCCTGCTGTCGCCTCAACTACCTCACCCAGCCCCGGGGAAAGTGGCGGTCATCTTGATGCTATAGTACAAAGCCCCTTAAGGGTTACGCGTACGCTGCGATGAGCCTGGCACTGAGGAGGAGGATGGCACGCAGCCCGAAGAAAGATAAAGTTTCTTGTAGAGGTCCCGCCACAGCAGCGCCCCGAAGAACTCTCCTTAGCAGTCCATATCGGTCGAGGGGCATAACACATTACTCGCAACACCACAGCCCAAACACTGACCCCCTGCGAACTGTTCCCCCCTTCCTTGACAGTTTCCGTCTCCCCAAAAGCGGTTCCTCCCCCGCCGGAGGGGGGGGGGGGCAATAGGGGCGGTATCCGGTCAGGGCATACCAACCCCACCGGGGCGCTGCTCAAACCATATGCGCTAGGGAAGGGCGCGAAGTACGGTTGCAATGTGCAATACCCGCATAGCACAACATCCTCAGCCCTTCAAGGGCGAAGCCGCAATATAGGGGGAAATGGGGAGGACCAGGATCGGCCGCAAACGCAAAACACTATTCGTTCTCGCCAGAGGCACAACAGAATCAGTTCTACACATGACAGAGTCAGTCGCACCAACTACGTCCACGCCCCCGCTCTCTCCGTTCATGCCCCTCCACTTGTCTGTGATCCATCCATCCACCTTTACCATCGAGCCAACAGACTAGCCCTATGACGGCTCTGGAACCAATGTAGATTCAAAGCCAGATCGCGAGGCTATACTAAGAGGAAGGTCACTGAGGCTGGGAGAGAAATCAAGTATCGGGTGGGAGGCACACAGCCTCCAAGATCCATGAATTAATCCATCATGCTTTTGCGAAGGGAGCATCGCCTCCTTCACACCAAAGCATATTCATTCATGCATCCACTCACTACCCTAGTCCATGTTTCCTTCGACAATCTCGTCATCCTTCGACCTTCTCGCTTTCAAAAAACCAAAAGACTTAAACGCTAGGTGCTTTGCAAAACCCAGAAAGATCAAACAAGACCTTAGATCAGATCGCGTGCTCAACAGCATCAAGCCGCCAAAAAAAAGACCAATTCCAAAAACGAAAAAACCGAGGGAAAAAAAAAACATAAACCAAAAGCATGTAACAAAACGCCGCCCAATGCAATGTGTCCCGCGCCAAAGCGCCCCCAACGGGGGTCGATGGAACCGACACGAATAGCAAGCCGCTATGCATCCGATTGACCTCCGAGATTTCCCAGCCAGCCAATGTTCTTTCTTTTTTCCCGTTTCCTCCCATCTTTCTTCTTTCATAAGGAGTGTAATATCTATTTCGTACCGACGGCAGATGAAGCCGGGTCGTGAGGTCGTGATAAGGAATGTGTCTGTGCAACCAATCTGTGCATAGTTGAGGGGGTATCGCGTATCTGATCCGATGACCGTAAGGAATGTCTAGTGTGGGGTATCATTATAGTAAGGAGTGTCGTGAGATGGTATCCGTATTAGTGTAGCGGTTGTTGGTCGATGGTGATAACGTGTAAAGGAATGTCGTGGGAGCAGGCGAGACTCGCTCGGCCGGCTTCCCGGGGTATCATTGAAGGAGTGTGGGTTACATTGGCGCTGAGTTGATATCGAATCAACAGTGGTAAGAATGTGGTGCAAACTTGATGAGGAGTTGGACGAGTGGTGCGTGTATGTGTGTGTGTGTTGTATGTGTGTGGTAGCAGAGACAGCCACAGAACGTCCGAAACTACAGCTCGCGCTCCTTGCCTTTCTCACTCCTGTGCAGGTATGCCGGCGGAGGGGACGGGCCAGGACCAAGCTGACGTGGGGGGAAGGGCGCACTGATGGCACTGGGAGACTCTCCCTGCACGGAAGACGAGGGTGGGGTCGGCCGGCGGTGGCGAGGCATCGAGGCGAGCAGGGGGATCGGCGACTCCGGAAGAGGCAGCATGCCCAGTTGTTCGGGCTGCAGAAAGGGGGAGGGAACTGTCGAGTGCGCCGTCGACGAGAGCAGGTAAGGGTCCTCAGGCGGAGGATAGCTGGGTGTCGTTGTCATCCTGGCCGTCGGTCAATCCCCGTGCTCGAAAGCTCAAAACGTTTTCGCCGGTGTGGTGTAGGTGCCATGGGTGGACGCTCCTAGTTCCACACGGACTGGATGGGAGAGACGAACCCGCTCAAGTTGCTGCCGGAGCCGAACATGTGGTGGCCGGAAGACATGCCGCCCATGTCATACGAGCCGTACTCT